GAATTTTCTGCGGGCCTTGTGGGCCAAGATGAAGTTTGCAAAAAAGGGTGAAATGGAAGAGTCAACCAAGGGCAGAATAGACTGCTGGTGTGTAACTTTTAAATTCGGATTCATGATCTGAAACGTGTTTCTCCCTGCACTTAAATCATTTGTCCTTATCTGTTCCCACATCTCACATATTTATTAAAGCATTGCTGTGCCATTAAGCAATGCAACCCCTAAAGGCATTGTTGGAATGTGGTCATTACTTCAGGCCAGTGGGAGAATATAAGGGACGTCAAACAGGTTATTTGTTGTTATAAAGCACCATTAAACCAATTACATTTCCATAATATGATGGAAACAAGACCACTACGAAGCTAGAAACTTGAGAAAAGCATTTTAAAAGCTGTAATCGTAAGTAACTCATGACTAAAGACACTGCACTGTTATGCAACATAAGTGTCAGGGGAACAAATTTCCATCCTCATGACTCATGCTTCTGTATTCCACATATTACTGGATGTCTCCTTCATTTTAAAGAAATGTGAACAGAAGTGTATATATAAAAATACCCGATACCCCAAACATGAAAAGACAACAACTATCAGGCTAAGAAAAATCTGTTAAGTTGACACTGAGTCAGCAGAGCCATTCTTCCGAGACGGAAAGTTACTCCATCTTTTGAAAAGTATGGCCGGAGAGACAACTCCTTGCCCGAGACCAACTCGCCCCCACCATCGCTTTCCTAGAACTGGGTCCTGAACTGCCCAGCCAAGGCAGGAGAGCAAAGGCCCTGAGAAGGGGCCGTAAAAATAATTCCCCCTGCCACCCCCGCACCTACTTTGCCTCTCCTTTGCCTTAAGAGGCGAGCAGGGAGGGCTCCTAACTCTGTCCACTTCCAGACCAGTGGGTCCCCCCTGGTCTCCCTCATCCGCCCATAACAGCTCGAGAGTACGGACCAAAGCAGTCTAGAAAGTGGCTCAAGCCAACACACCAGTACCTGCTCCAGAGGTCTCTCGGTCGCCCCTCCCCCCGCCCAGGGTTCATCCAGCAGGTCCCCGCGACTAGATAGCTGTCTCAACCACACGATTTTCACCGACTTTATTGGCTCCCGACCCCGGCGGGCTCCTCGCCGCCCACCTCCCCACTAGATCTAGCCGGCCCTCGATGACATGGAGCATATTCAAAAACATTCCGGGGCAGCTATGAAAAGAGCCCTTGCTGGGGAAGCCCGCTCCCCCGTGGCGGCGTCAGGGTCACTTGCTCTTCGCCTTCTGACTCTCCGTCTTCTTGGGCAGCAGCACGGCCTGGATGTTGGGCAGGACGCCGCCCTGAGCGATGGTCACTTTCCCCAGCAGCTTGTTTAGCTCCTCGTCGTTGCGGATGGCGAGTTGCAGGTGGCGAGGGATTATCCTGGTCTTCTTGTTGTCACGAGCGGCGTTGCCAGCCAACTCCAGGATCTCCGCCGTCAGGTACTCCAACACCGCTGCCAGGTACACCGGCGCCCCAGCGCCTACTCGCTCCGCGTAATTACCTTTGCGCAGCAGTCTGTGCACTCGGCCCACTGGGAACTGCAGGCCCGCGCGGGAGGACCGTGACTTGGCCTTTGCCCGCACTTTGCCGCCCTGCTTTCCGCGACCAGACATGTTCGCCTCTCGCCCAAAACTCCAGCAACGAAGAAGTACCCCGGCAATCCGGGTTGGAGAATGGGAGTGCAACGTACCACACCCGAACCGCCTCTACCAACACTTTGCTGATACTAGGCAGCGCCCTCCCATTGGGCGCCGCAACATCCTCGGCTCCGACGACCAATGACAGGCAGGCTCCGCGACCAAAGAGCGCGCGGGCAGAGGGACCGCCTTCTCCAGCTCTATCCAATTAAAAGAGCAGACTCCTAGTCCTCATTTACATAACCGCTCTTATGAATACTCAGACCCGACTGTTACGCGTTTGGTGGCTACGTTGAATTTATTGGATCTTGAGATTTCAACGTCCACGCACACTCCCGGGAAAAGAAAGTCTACAGAAGTAAGGAAGCATGGTTAGAAACAAAAATCCGGAAGAAGAGCTATTCCGTCTATACTACGAAGCGCTCAAGCGAGAAATGCCTCTAGCAATGGAGGTCGTGGGGTGTGCCCGACAGCATCCTAGCCAGGTAGTTAACTGACTTCAGAGCCCGTGCTTTTGGGCAACACGGCTCCTCAAGCGAAATCACAACCTCTCTACCGAATTCTGCCTGCCCAGTGCAGGGTACGTTGCCTGTTCCTTTAAATAACACCTTGCCTCATGCAAACCCAGGGGCGCCTGCTAATACCCTGCAGTGTGGGGAGCTGACTCCAAAAGAGGCTTCGGACGGAGTTGGCCATCAGAACTTTCTTAATCACACTAGATGACACTGGACTCCCCGCACAGCTCTGCCTCTCACACGCTGCCGATCTTCGCTTCGAATGGCTGCGAAACTAGAGTGCTAGACTAGACGTGACTACTGTCTTCACAGACGACAGGAACACGCTCCCTCAGCCAAAACTGAACATCTCTTGCCTTTCAGGATAAGAGCCTGAAGAGAGCGTCTGGATGCCCATGAGAAGCCACAGGCGCAGCTCCGTGCCGAGGCTGCTGAGGCTGCTGGCCTTGCCGTGCCCCTTATTGGTCCTGGGGCCGCGCATCACGTTCTCCACGAAGACTCTGAGAGTCTCCTTGTAGACGAGACTAGAGGTAAATAAGGTCTCGTAAGACATTCCCATGGCGCTAGGCGCTCTCCTTTTCCAGCCCTCTGCGGCGCTAAGAGATCACGAAAAGACTAAAGGAAGACCGGCAGCAGCTACCCTTATAAACCCGATTGCGGAGCCATAGCATTCAGAACAAAATAAGGGTTGTTTTTTTTTATTTGGAATTAGAAATTACTTTCTACTAATTTATTGAGGTAATTTCATTTACCTCAACATTTTCCACAATTATACAATTACACTAGTATGTGATGTAAGAGTAAACACATATTAAAATAAGCAGTATTTTATACGGATTATAATATCCACTTAAAACAAATTTACCCTTTCACTACCCTAATAAAGATTTCATTGAAATAGCGTTTTCAACTATTTATGTATATGTCCTTATTGTCTAGAACAATGATTAAAGTACTTGTAGTAGGGACTCACTAAATGTCTCTGGAGCTGAGAAACAGTATATTGTCACCACGAAGGTGGTCATCCTGGAGCCAGACTGCCTCAGTCCAAATCCTGGCTGTACCACTTACCAGCTGGCCTTCCAGAACTTATTGAACCCGCGTACCTGTCCCAAAGTGTTACTTTGAAGATTAAATATGTTAGTAAGCATCCAGTAATTGTTAGAGAAATTGAATGAATGATGCACTTAGTAGCAAGTTGTTGACCTGGAATGAGTTCTCTCAATTTAGCATAAATTCTGCCCTACATTGTGGGAAATTCCACCCCCCCCCCCCCCCCCCCCCTTTTTTATGAGGAAGATTAGCCCTGAGCTAACGTCTGCTACCAATCCTCTTCTTCTTTGCTGAGGAAGACTGGCCCTGAGCGAACACTGGTGCTCATCTTCCTCTACTTTATATGTGGGAGACACCTGCCACAGCTTGCCCGGACAATCTGTTTGCAGGTCCACAACCGGGATCGGAACCAGTGAACCCCAGGCCACTGAAGGGTAATGTGCGAACTTAACCACTGTGCCACCAGGCTGGCCCCTATGGTGGGAAATTTTTAATAATTATTATTTTGGATGCTATCCTTTTATTCTTAGAAGCAAGAGAGATTTCTAACTTGAAAATGTTCTAACCTTGACTTTTTAGTCTTAGTAAATATAAACAAATCAACCTGTTTTACCATTATAAGAATCCTGATCTCTTCAAGATCTGATAGACTTTTCTTCTTCCCTGTGAGTGACGGATTAAAATCATATAGTACAATTTGAGTATCTAGGATTTTTTTCTAGCCATACAGTGATCCCAGGTTAATTCATCTTTAACCAAAAAAAAGTACTTTTTGTGTTATGGAAATGGGTAAATTATAAGCGTTTAGATACCTAATATTTACTATAAAGCTTTCCTGCTGGAAAAGTGTATTCTTTAAGACAAGGGATAGGGAACACAGTTTATTAAAATATTCCTTTCTCCAGATGTTAAGTGCCTGGCAACGAGTTATGAATCATCCTCTAAATATGGGGGCCTTTTATCGCAGTAAAACGTCTGGAGTCCTGTCCCCTAGAGCGGTGACACTACAGAAAGTTTTATTTTTATTCAGGGACTCTCTTCAACGGATTGAGCTTGCTGATTGAAGATTTGCACTAGAAATGACTCTTTAGAGCTATGATCGTGGCACCCATTATTTTATAAGAACTCTGAATGTTTAAGTGCAAGATGGGAGAACCTCAGATTTGAATGAAATAAATCTACAATATTTCAGCTAAGTAACCACAGAAAACCACTTACTTGGTTGAAAAGCAAATACGCGCGGGCGTGGGGCTGGGGCGGAGGAGGCAGGAAAATCTGCAAATTGCGCAGAAACTGAAAGGAAAAGTCTTGAGGGAAGGAGGGGAGGAAGATTAGACTTTTGAAAGAATTTTAATTATCTGTGGGGGCCACAAAAGAGAAAAAAGCACCATTAAAAATTTTCCTCTCCCCCTACTTGTGACTGAAAAAAATCCACAAACGAAAGCTATAAAGCAATTGCCTTCAAATCTAACAAGATGCAATGCGTTCCTGGTTCCTACTGATTGTCACATTAGTCTGAGAATAATATTATAAAAGTAAGCATTCCGTTTGAAAAATAATTAGAATTCACGAGCGCGTGAGGGAGAGACGAGGGGGCCGGCGGGGACAAGGGAGAGAAACCGAGCGCGCATAGGATCTGGCCGACTTTTACTGAAGCGCTGACAAAACGCAAGAGAAATTCTATTGAGTCCTCAATTTTATGGAAAAATAACTAAAAAGGTTTTCCCCCCCCAAAAAAGAAATCAGTCTTGTTTTGTTTACTGCTTGCTAGACTCACTATTGTGACGAGGAAAAACGGCTCCTGGGGCCTAGAGCTCCGCCCACTTTCTTGAGGTTTTCAAACAGGTCCGCCACCAGAGAATATAAACCCTGGGCTAAAGCTCCTCATTACCGACTGCTTTTCGGTCTTGAAGCACAGTTCTTGATACGATGTCTGGTCGAGGTAAAGGTGGCAAAGGGCTGGGAAAAGGAGGCGCCAAGCGCCACCGTAAGGTTTTACGGGACAACATCCAGGGCATCACGAAGCCGGCCATCCGCCGTCTGGCCCGCCGCGGTGGTGTCAAGCGCATTTCTGGGCTCATCTACGAGGAGACCCGCGGAGTGCTGAAAGTGTTTCTGGAGAACGTGATCCGCGACGCCGTGACCTACACGGAGCACGCCAAGCGCAAGACGGTCACGGCCATGGATGTGGTGTATGCGTTGAAACGCCAGGGCCGCACCCTCTACGGCTTTGGTGGCTGAGCTCGTCCTGCGGCTTTTCTCCAGGTTTCAAAAGGCCCTTTTTAGGGCCCCCAAGACGTCAAGAAAAGAGCAGACACTACTTACCGTGTAAATACCGACTTCAAGTGCAGATACGCGCCTTAGATGAGGCGCTCTGAACGCCATTACCATATAAATGTTGGCTTTAAGTGCAAATACGCGCCTTGGACGAAGCGCTCTGAACGCCGTTAGTAAGAAACGGTTCGAAGCATCTGCTCCGGCCGCTGTCTCCGGTTTAGAGGCTTTAGGCTTGGGAGGAGGGGAGGTGTGGACAGTGGAGCTGTGGGGGGACTCAACACCACGCGCTTGGGACGCAGCTTGGGAAGAGGGGCGCAGGGCAACAGTGACTTCTCTCTACATAGAAGCAGACGCCTGCCTCCTGGCTTGCTTTTGGATTCCGCTTGGGAGAAGACAGCATCTACGTTAGGAAACCCATTTCTCATGAGCAGTGGACGGCTTCTAAGCAACTAAGGCCTCTGTCCCTGAAGCTATATGTAGTGGCTTCTATGTAAATCAGGGGAGCGGCATTCCCGCTTCCGATTGGACAGGAGGGCGCCGCGTCGGAGCGCCGCAGCCGGGCCGGCCTCTGAGAGCGCGGGGCTGGGCCTGTCCCAGCGCCCAATAGGGAAGCGCCGCTGCCGGCGAGTCAGTGCGAAATGCCGTCCGAGGGTGGCGCGCTGGTGTCCTGCCGGGCGTGGATAGGTGATTTCTTCGCGGACGGTTTGAGTAAGGCCCCCGAGCTCAGACGCTGACTGTAGGGTGGTGAAGTGCGGGCCAAGGCCAAGACCAGGCCGAAGCTCGCGGACCCCGTGCGGCCCATGAGTCGGCTGCACAAAGTTGGCTGCGCGGAGCAGGTGAGCGTCCGCACCCCGGAGAAACCGGCGGCGGTGCTCGAACCCTTGACCGTGGGAATCCAAGAGGTGGCCAGCAGAGCGGCCAGGGACGCAGGACAGCGGCCTGCTCAACATCCTGGCGCTGCTGCTGCTCGGGAAAGAGTGTCTTGTGACCCGGTCGCAGCCGGGAGAGGAGCCCTGGCTGCAGAGTAAAGGTCTTTTCAGAGCCGCCGGGGCTCTGGAAGGGAGATGGGCGGTGGGTTGGGTTCTAATAAGCTCGGTGAAAATGGTATGGGCGAGAGCTGGGTGGTAGCGGAGTCCTACCCAGTGATCCTGTCGTTCGGCCAGGAGACCTCGAGCAACGTGCGGCCCTGGGGCAGCCTGTTGGAGGGAGCCTCCAGGCGACTGTAGGGCCTGGAGATGGGGAGACCTACCTACGTGCAGGCCAGCAGGGGCCGCCAGGGAGGCGAGGCGGGACCCCAAGTCAGTATGATGGCCTCGCTCTATTCCTGGCTCTAGCACTCATAACTTGTTTATGTGAGGGAAATGGGGAAAGGGCTTAGGACCCCAAAATACAGTGCGATTCCATGCATCTTAGCTAATCTCCCCCAGCTCTGGCTTGTCTCAATATCGTGAAGTCACTTAGCTTCCTGGAGGTGGTTGCCTGGAGCGGCTCTGGGGAAACTTCCCAGCCTTGATAGGCAGATATGTCTCATTTTAAGCGATTTATGTTTGAAATATACTCTGGCCAGGGAAACATTTATTGTATTCCCTTAGCGGAGGCTGGCGTTATGCCATCTCTTGAGCGGCTGGCACTTTGTGTTCTATTATTGCATTTGATTGTCCAGGAAATTTATGAAGTATTTGTTATTAATACCGTTTGACAGATGAGAAAGCTTATGCTGGGGTGTAAGAACTGGAGCCGGCGTTTGAACCCAGCCCCGTTGGATCCCGCACCCTTTGACCTTAACCCTTATGTACCACTGCTTCTGCCATGGAGGCAGTACCTTCTCCTACTCCATAAAGACAGTAGTATCCGTGATGCTGGTGTGAAATGAAATTTCTAGGGCAGTGAGTCCCGGAAGCTCAACTTTCTTTAATGTGAATGAAAAAATGAGTTACTTAAAAGAAATGGCATTGTGTGGCACACTTCTGTGCCTTTATATTTAGTGAATGAGTGAATTTGAGTGGATGGATGATGTACCCTTTCAATCCCCAAGTTAGCATGAATCAAATTGTTGGAGGTGAAGGTTAGGAGCCCAGTGGAGCATGGAAATAAGTACTTGCTTGACAGTTCAAAATATCTATTCCTTGGAAGTTTAATTTTTGTTTGTGTTTTTGATAGTGGCCCCAATTCTTTCTACCTGTCCAATAGAACTTATATTTTCCTTTAATAGCATGGCTATTTTTTTGTTCATGTTTTATATAATTTATGAAATATAACCAAATTATTTGAGCACAAAAATCTTTGTTTTCATGTGTATGAGTCCCATGGTAGTACCCAGTCCTGAAGTAATCGTATTTTCCAAACCACAACTGGGTCACGTGATTGGAGAACACAACAGAATATCTGAAATTAGAACTGACAGATTTTCTAAAGTTGGCTAATAAAATGCCTTACTACAAATGTTTGTTAAATACAGAACTTAATGTAAAGCTTCTCCGTAATGCCTTCCTTACAATGTGAACAGAATGCTATTGAAATTAGACCTTGTAGCAAAGTCATCTCTTCTGAATTTTGAACATTTAATGCCTCTTTTGTTCCAAGAACTGTTAACTTTTCAAGAATCAGAGAAAATTAGCGTAGTTCCTGCCATCAAGAAGTTTCTATTTTCCAAGTGAAGAGGGAAGGGAAAGACATCCGTGTACTTATACTCGTGTGGTTTGCTCTAATAGAGTGGTATGAATGAAATGGTATTGGTGTACAGAAGAACAAATAGTGTAAGGCTTAGGGGGTCTTCAAAGATCAGGCGACATTTGTTCTGAGCCAAAGGCCCTTTGGAGAAGGGGAAGGCCACACTAAGCTTGGGGAACAAACAGCATGACCAAATGCCAGAGTAGTTTCCAGGCAGGATGTATTTGGGGAGCCTCCTAATGTTGGATATTTAATTTGTCCAGTTGCCCAGGAATAATGCAATGGACTAGGTAAACAGTTGGATAAAAATTGAAATCAAGTCCAAACAAGCCAATAGAAAAATGAGCAAAAGACAGTGGGAAAACATGGCCAATAAACATAGGAAGAGGTGTTCAGCTTGGTTAGTCATCAGGGAATTGCAAATCAGGACCACAATGAAATGCAATTTTGCACTCACTAGTTTGGTAAAAATTTTAAAGTCGTCATTATCTTGTAAAATTGAAGATAGGTTCACATATATGCTGAGCCAGCAATTCCACTCCTGGATAGTTACCTAAGGGAAATTATAGCATGTATGTACCAGGACACGTGTTCACCAAAGTTCTTGATAGAACTGTTCACAGTAGCAAAAGCAAAGAAACCATATGAACATTGACAGGAAAGTGGATGAATAAATTGTGGTGAAATATAATTTGGCAGTCAGAATGAACTCATAAATGCAATTTGAGTTTATGGTGGTCTATATTGAGTGTTTTGTTTTTCTACTGACATGCGTGAAGACTTGTGTCTTCATGTGTTTGGCAGATGTTTATTCTGAACTAATATATGGTTGACGATCATATGCAGAGTGCTGAGGAGCTAACTGAGCACACTGCCCTCCAGAGAAAATTAGCATTTGCTTCTCCTTTGGGCCAGATGCTTCTATCAATTTGTGATTTTAGCCCCTTTCCCGTGTCCCATCTTGATGGAAGAGTCTCACATTCTCCTTCTTTGTATCCTTAGAGGAGATCCAAGCCTTATTCTCCATTGCAGCCCTAGATTTGACGCTTGCTTTCCCATCACCTTCAGTTGTTATTTCACTGCTGTTTTATTTTTAATTTTTTGCTCTTTGGGGATTTTCCTTATTTTCTTGTGACCATAGAAATACAGGCTTTGAGCTAGAAGTTTCATTCAGATTGTGTGGTTTGCCAAACTGCTCAAAGTGGGTTTCACCAACTATAACATTTGATGTTATATGTCTTCCCCGACTAGTCTGTGAACTTGCAAGCAAGAATCTGATTCATATCTGTACTCCTTGAACCTCTGACCTATAATTTTGAATACACATAGGCACTTATTAATGTTCTGAGAAAATTATCTATTCACTTATTTGATAATATGGTAACATATCTTACTAAAATAGAGTTGTTTTCCGTATGTTTCTATTCTCTGAAAAGATGATATACCATAACAATGATCTGCTCCTTAAATTTATTAGTAAGCCATTTGCCTTGAAGTCCTGCCCTGGAGGTAATGTTTTGGTTACATTTTCAGATTCTTTCACCACCTTTATTTTTTTCTATTTAGACGTCCTACTTTTTTTTGAGTTAAATTCGATAAGTTATATTTTCCTTTAAAGCCATATATTTTATTTTAAAAATTAGAAAAAAACTTATACACATCATATTTTCTAATGTTAAAAAATTCACCTTTCTCATTTCTAATTTTGTGTTATCTTTTCTTCTGATTATATTTTTCAGAAATCTGTTTATAAATTAGTTTCTTCAAAGAAAAAATTACTCAGTTTATCCTTTTAAAATCTTTTAATAATTTTTATTCTTATTGTTTCTTACCCTGTAATTTCCTTGGTAGGATTTTTTACCATTTCTCCAAAACCTGTTATCCCCATTTCATTTTAGATTCTTTATTTTCAAAATAACAGTATAATCTATGACTCTGAATTTATTTCTATTACAGCTTTGGTTGCATCTCAAACTTTTGAAATATTGTAGTGCATTGTGTTATTTCCTAAGTCATCCATAATTTTATTATTATTTCATCTCATCTTAACCCAATTATTAAAGAGGTTAAAAATTTAGAGAGTTGGAATGTTTTCCTGTTTTAGTTATCAAAATTAATTTTTAGTTATAAATTTGGGCTAGGGAATGAGACCTCTGCAATTTCTTCTTTTTGGAAATTATTGAAGTTTTGTTATCATTTTTTGAAAATATCATGGATGCTGGCCAAGGAGGCATAGTATAATGTTTTAAAATAGGACATTCAATTTATAGCTGTTCAATATTGTTAATTATATTTTGAAAATAAAAACCCTATCACTGTTTTTATCTACTCTGTGTATATTGTATCTAATAGTGTCGTGTTGTTTCCTGCTATATTTTTGTTTCTCTCAGTTTATCCTCATATTTTAAATAGCATTTATTTTATATAATTTGCTTGTGTGTGATTTGGTATTTAAACTTCATGACTGTCATACCTTCTTTATAGGTTGTACCTTTTATCAATGTGAATAACTCTTTTTTGACTCAATTTTTTTTTGGTCCCTGGGGTATTAATTAACTTGAATTCCAATTAGTTAACTCCTTTTTTAACCTTATCTCAGGTGGTGTTAGGCACCTGCAATCCTTAATACACCGATGATCTAATTACAATGTTTATCTCCCCAAATTTTAACAACTTTATTTTGGTTATTTGTGATAATGCATAAAATATCTACATCTATTATTATATAATTCAGGGGAAATAAAATTGTAAGAAAAATTTTATGTTATACAAATAACATCAGAAAAATAATCTTAAATTATTTGAAGTGAAGTTTTGACTTTATTTCTCCTACCCAATATGTGTAACTTTCTCAAGATAATAAAGAATTGTTCAGTTAAGTATTACTTCACTGGACATCATCTGAGTCTTTAGTTCACATGAGAGTATTTGATACATCAGACACCTGGGGTGGGGCAATTTATAAAATCTGCTATCACAGCATCCTGTGATTTGAAATAGTACATAATAAGCACTCAATATAGTACATAATAAGCACTCAATAAGTAATCAATGAATTAGTGAATATATGATTAAGGGATAATGGAGGAATACTTTCATTTATTGTCGAAGGTTAAGTCAATCATAGATGAAAAGACTTTAATTATTATATTTTTCTTATCCTAAC